ATAACCTCACTTAAACTTTAATGTACAAACTATATATTGTTAAAAGATAGTTACACTTGGAAAATTACACACTTTTACATCAAACGAGCATACAAAACAGTTAAGCCTTGGTAGAAGGCTACTTTAACATAAAATATAGGTTTTTCTGAGAGATTCAAACTTTTACAAACACTTACATACATTTACAACTCATACTTGCGACAATTTCAAACGTTTTGATAACAAACATCGACACTAAAACACTTATGAACTCACCAGCTTAATGCTGATAAACTCTTTCAAAATAACTTGTATTCTCAGGTCATCAGTAGACAGGTACCGATGCCAGCTTTTGAGAAGATGGAGCGCATTCAAGACTCATCATATTATTTTGATTTACATTATATTTTTGGTGTCTAAAACTGTACAGAACACGCTTGTATTAAAATTATGTATTTAATGCAATGGATGATGTTGCTTGCTTATTTACATTTACTGTGTTGTGATACTTTACATGACGTCCTCCGCCCCAGAACGTTTCCGCCGTTCTTGGTTTTGGGGTGTGACAGATTGGTATAAGATAATGAGACCGTTAAGTGTTTAATATGTTGTGACTTGTGAGGGTGATGATGTCTCTTAGAATTTAATGGTCATTAGATGGTTGAATATATATATATATATATATATATATATATATATATATATATATATATATATATATATATATATTGAATAGTGGGAATTTATTTTATATTTAATAATATAGTTTATCAAATTAAGTAAATAATTTTTTATTGTTTATTTTTTTAATTATATAAAACAATAAAAAAAACTATTTTTCTAAATGTTTTAAAATGATAACATATAAATAATACATTAACAAATATTACAATACAACCTAATGAAATTATTTATTAATTACATGTTAACAAATATACTCTATTAAATCATGTTGCTATTAGGTCATGTTTGTTGCTATTAAATCATGTTGCAAAGCATGATGCATTAATGTTGTGGTGATACTAAAATAAAATACGTGTACTAACATTGTATTTTAGATATTAATGTATTAGTTGTAATTTTTACTTTCTATCTTGTAATCTTTAATTTGTAACTTTTAGTTTTTAATATATATATATATATATATATATATATATATATATATATATATATATATATATATATATATATATATATATATATATATATATTAGTTGTGAGACTCGTGTACTATACGTGTTGATTAAAAAAATTATATATAAAAGTCTAGGGAAAAGATCAAATGAGAACACATAAAAGGTTGAGAACGCGAGAACAAGTATATTCATTTCTGATTTCATGTATTCATTTGTGGAGAAATGATAAATTTTTACGCATAATCAACATGAATATTATTTTCTCTTCAATTGAAATTAAATGCGTAAAAATTTATCATTTCTCCGCAAATGAATACAGGGAATCGCAAATGAATATACTTTGTTCTCGCGTTCTCAACCTTTTTTCTGTTCTCATTTGATCCTACTCCTAAAAGTCTAAACGTTAAACATTTTTAAAGTAAAATTTCGGTATAAATACGACCAAAATGATTAATATGTACGTCAATCTATATAAATAAAAGGAAAATATTGACATTTTACATAAATGATGAATAAGAAATTCAACATTATATGACTAATTGCTAAGTTTATCGACATTGTTTAAAATTAAAATTTTTATTCTATCTTTACTTTTAACTTTGGATACCGCAACATACAACTGCTCGTGAGTGAACACTGATTTTTACCAAATCTGAAATCCGGTTAATAACTCTAGAAGTTCTAGCAAAAAATTTATTTTTTACTTAAATATAACAAATATACTGAATTTAAACTATATACAATATTATACAATATTATGGCATGAAGTCACACATCAGATTGAAAAAATGTCGACATCGGACATAAGCAAAGAGATTTATTTTAAATAAAACAAAAAAGAACTCCGAAATTTGAAGATCAAATCTGGAATAGGACATCAGGGAGTAAGTTTAGTCAATATCCCTTTTTTAAATAGAATAGATGGGACCTTATGATTTTTAAAACGATAATTAACCTTTTTCCGTTTGATATATATCTAGAGGGTGTTTGAAATTACTTTTAAAATGACTTTTAATTTTTATTTTTTTTAAAAAGTTAAAAATATTATAAGATATTTGGGAAATACAAAAGTTCTTTTCAAATTAACTTTTTGTAAAAAGAAAAAAAAAATGGGTTTTCAAAAGTTCGAAAAGTGTGACTTTTTTTTTACTTTTAGCTTTAAAAACTAAATTATACTCAAAAGTCAAGAAATACAACTCAAACACTTTTTAAAAATAATTTTTGGCTTTTGCCTAAAAAAAATTAAAAAAAAACAAAAAAAAACAAAAAAAAAAAAACAAAAAACAAAAAACTTTAAAAAAAAATACTCTTAATCTTAAAATAATCACAAACACTCCCTCTAAAGATAATAGTTTACTTCCATTTGAGACAATGAAGATGGTCTAAAAATAAAACAAATTAAAATAATATATGTTAATATTAATTCATTAAAATATTTTACAACTCTTAATTAAAAAAAACAACTAAACATGTTATAACTCGATATAATTTATAGTAAATTATGTTATTAAAATAATTGTTTAGAAACTTATTTGTACAAAACATAAAATCAAAGTAAAAAAAAATTTTTTACCATGTCATAGGTTCTAATTTATTGAATTGTAGTAAATTATATTATTAAACTCATTTAGGAATTTTGAAATTAAAAGGAAAGCATTAATGAAATTGTGTGTCCATTTATTATGACATTTATTATAATTATTATAAATTATTATAATGTGGAAATTAATAAAATGGAAGAAAAAAACATAAAATGTCATATGGAAAAAAAAAAAATTAACTTAAAGTAACCACAAAATTGAAATGTTGCAAAATGAATGAGAATATGACATGTCGCAAAAAAAATTCGCAAAGCTACCTCCGAGGAATGAACTTTTGTTCTGAGAAATTAATATATGATTTGAGGAATCGATGTGGCAAAAAAATGAAGTTCATTCTTCGGAGGTAGCTCTGCAGAATTGTTCTTTAGATTTTTTTTTGTTACATCGATTCCTCGGAGCAAAAGTTTGTTTGTCGGACGTTTCGTAGAATTGTTCTTCAAATAAATAAATTAATATATATATATATATATATATATATATATATATATATATATATATATATATATATATATATATATTTGTGTGTGTGTGTGTCATGTCAATTCCTTGGAGATTAAGTCGATTTCATGGAACATTCGAAGGGTACTCTATGAAACCCGTATCTATATATGGAAACATCCATTTTCTTTTCTATTTTTGTAAAACACTACCAAAAAATGATTATTATGGTCTATTTCCCTATAATTTAAGGGACAGAGAGTATAGAGTTTAATAAAGATAAATGATGATGATGTGGCAAGATAAAGTAGTATGGTGAATAAAACGGTGATGCAGCATTCCTTTAAACTAAAATATTTGATCCATCGGAGATAACATTAGAGTAAGTTTTCAACTAGTTTATAGAGATTGTTTTAAATTCTCTCATATATATCATTTATTAATTATAATAAAATTATTTTTCTATATACTCTTATGTCATTTTACACTTACAGTTACCCTATTAATTAATTTTATCAAATATCGTTTTTAATCAAATACAAGTTAACTTTTTAGCTACAAGTTAGTTTTTCAGCAATCAAATATCTTTTACACTACCAACTAGTTTTTTAACTAGTCTGTCAATTATAGCCTTATACTATCTTTTTATGAGGTTTTTTTCAAAAAATATTTCAAATATACTTTTAATTAATTATAGAAAACTTATTATCTTAAATATCATTTTATATATTCCAATTACCTTATAAACTAGTTTTTGTCAAACTTCATTTTTTTATCAACTAGTTTTTCAGTTAATATGCCGAATATGGCCTACGGGTTTATTATGTGAGTCATAAAATAGAATAAAGTTTTTTTTATTTGAGTAAAAATTATAGAATAACATTTTTTCATACATTTTTTTCCGACATGCTAAAGCATTATACTTACAAAAACATTCCACTCGTGTAAAATTGTTAACTTGTTGACCGATATATAGACTTGGAAATGGAGCGGGTTTTAACTCTGGTCCGCTTCAAACCCGTGCAAAATTAATGGGTTTGGATCACATTTTATTATTCTTTTACCCGTTAACGATCCATATCCGTTAACCCTTTTATTAAAAGGTTCAAGTGTGGAACACTATCGATCCAATCCATTTATGATCCATACCATCTAAAATTTTGAAATATAAATTAATTATTTATAAGTAATAATACATTTATCAATTTTCACATATAGGAGTCGAGGAGTTAGACTGTTAGACGTTCTACTTCAACTTCCTAGTTAAGTTCCTAAACCAAATGGCCGATTGCAGTCGACTCCCAATATAATCGACTCTATAATATTTTGAAATCGACTATGAGATCGATATTCCACAATCAAGACTTAAGAGCAAGAAGAAAAGGGTTTCAATCAAGATTCAAGAAGACGAAAAAGCTGCAATAAGTGATCGACATTCCACAATCATAATACAATGGAAAAGTTATCTATATAACTATAATTTATATTTGTTTTGGAGTGAATGTTGTTTGGTTTTAATGATCATGTTATATGTGTTTTAATGAACAATTATAACGTAAAAGTAATATTGTAAATGGGTTGAAATCTATTGATTCGTTGGATAAGGGTGTGAGTTTAATCATTCAAAACTCTGCGGGTTACAAGTCAGGTTTGGATCATCATTTGAAAATTGTTTAACGGGTTTGGATTAAGAGTGATCTGCTCCAAACTCACTCCATTACCAAGCCTACCGATATACGCCTGTAAGTTTTGTGACAAAATTTATAGGACATACATTTAATACATCATTCAAAATATATACATATACATCATTTTAACAAAACTTACACGAGTAAAAGGATTTTTATTAGTACAATGACTTAATACAATAAAAAAAATGATAACCTAGGTATTCCTGTTTTTTATAAGGTTATAAGGATAACAAAATCACTTGCTGAATCAAATTTTTAAAAGCTTTGAATTAGTCTTCTTTTGGGGATCGACTTACATTAATACTTCGTTTCAGCATCTCAACTGCTTCCAACACACCATCCTAAAACGTGCAACATAAAGTTAACATAAAACATAAAATCAAAATGTCCAAAATACCCTTGGAAAAAAACCAACAGTATTACCTCGGAAGATAATCTCTGAGCAATTTTCAAGGCGTTTTCTTTGACTTGTGAAGATAAAGCAAAATGAATTGCTTTAGTAAGAGCAGTTGCAGCTTCCTTTATGCTGACGTCATCATCTTCATGTGGGACCAACTGATTTCTCTTGAGGGGTTCAGGAGCAACTCCAAGCCAAAACATCCTCTCTGCCCAATAAAATTGATCCAGCACAAACGGACACACTACCTGTGGAGTTCATCAATAATTCCTAAATTGCCCTTCCTTTTTCTGTTAATGTAACTAATCAAGATTCAAGGGTAAAGTTGTCCAAACACACCTGTGGAGTTCCTGCATGCAAGGCTGCTGAAGTTGATCCACTAGTCAAACCAGATTATACACAAAATAAAACATTAGTAAAGAGAAGGGTAAAATTGTCCTAAAAGATAGACTTAAAAATAACAAATTTACCTGCCTCCATGATGAATAGCAGCAGCACATTTTGGGAACAGCCATTTGTAGGGTATAGAACTATTGAAAATTTTATAATATATAAAAGGGTTAGATTCAAGGTTTTAAAAATCGTTTGAGGCGTACGCCTCGAGGCGCGCCTTGAGGCGAGGCGGACGAAAAACGATTCTGAGGCTACGCTTCTTAGGGGGAGAATGAGGCGCACGCCTCAGTCTTGTGAGGCGGTGAAAAGCGGTCCGAGGCGGGGCGTTCCGAGGCGAGGCGTAAGAGGCGTTCTGGGTTTTTTTTTTTTTTTGGACTTTTTGACCTTAGAAATCACGTGATTTCTTTACTTGACCTAATTTTTCTCCAGCTGTCACTCCTTATTCTCTCGTTTCTTCTTTCTTTTCTCTTCTCGTCACTCCTTATTTTTCGTTATTGTTGTTTTGGCTTGATTTGAAGACTATTATGCGTTTGGTTTTACTAATTTGGCATGATTTGAAGACTATTATGAATTTTAGTATCTTTTTATTTTTGGGATGATGACATTAAGTAAGACTTTTATGTTTGAAATTGGACTTTAGTATGTTTTTTATGATTAATATAATATATTATTATTATTATTTTATTCCGCCTCGAGGCTTACGCCTCGTGAGGCGAGGGGTAAACGCCTTGAGGCCCGATTCCGTATTTTAAAACCTTGGTTAGATTAGATTAAAAAAAATTGTAGTGTTTTAAAGTATAATAAGAAAAAAAAAATTAAAATATATTTCAAAGATGTTTTTACCCTGAGAAGCAAAAAATCCTGTCACCAAAAAGAGAAATTCCATCCTTGATTTCTTGACAAGAATTAGATGATGCTTCTCCAGCAAGAAATCTTGTTGCAGCATCCAGAGGTCCATATCCAGATGTGAAAAGGATAAATCGGTAATTTGTCACCTCTACAACACTTCCAAGAACTTTAAGTAGCAAATTAGGTTTTTTCATAAACCCCATGCTGCATAAAGGAAGCATTTTTAAGAGTTTATGAAAAAAAAGTATAGATACAACAGAGAGTGCAGGAGGGTATTTATGTAATTATTACTTTGTCAAATATAAATTATAAAACTTGCCTTCCAATAGAACTCAAACCAATGAAAACAGGTGGTTGTGATGCTGGAGCATTTAAAAAGTGTTGCAATTTGGTGTGAGCTGAACACAATAAAGCTTTTTTGTTCATATTTTCTGAAGAGGGCAAAATTGTAATTTGTGCACACTCTTTGCACGAGAACTGCCACTCCATAGGAAGATTCCAGAAGCCACAAACATGAACATTTGAAGGCCAGTAACCTAACATAAATTATAAATACATAATAGCATATTAATTTTAAACCATTAAAAATTTTCAAATTGTAAATTTGTAGTTTTATGGTTTTATAGTTTTATAGTTTTATACCAGGGTATTCTACAACTTCTTTGCTGAAACCATATCTGTTATATAAAAGTGGTGAAAATTAAAACAATATAAAAATATGTTTAATCTTAATAGTTGTTTAATCTTACAGTAGTAAAGGAGAGAAAGGTCTATTGTGCCACATGGGATGACTTGTGACTGGATCCTAGACAAATAGTTGACCATAGTCAACAATTGAAAATAATAAAGCCAAAAAAGAAAAAATTAATTATTGGATGATTTTTTTATACATACTGTGAAAGGTAGGGGGCTTAAGTGTAACTTTGTAGATCTCCATGTACCCCAGTCTTCAGTAAATAGTGGCCACATCCAGTGAATTACATCTTTCCAACAAATCTTAATTAAAATTTTAAATAAAATTTAAAGATTATAAATACGTTAACCAAGTTTTTTATAAAAATGTGGAGGGTTTGAGATTTTACCTTGTTGGTTGGAGCTGTTTGAAGATAATCATATAAAAGTGGAAGCTCTTGTTTAAATTTTCGTTCAAAGGAAGAAGGAGCACTACGAAAAAACAGACACATAAACATTAAACAAAAATAAAATAAAATAAAATAATAAAATAAAAAACATACCTATAAGGGACAACATAAGGAGCTGCTACCACACATCTGACATCAAAAACCTCTGAAAGGCTCCAACCTTCCTGCTTCCAATAAATAAATAAAAATACGTGTGTTCATAACAAAAAGATTTTCTTTGAAATAATTAGATAAACTGCACAGATATGTTTGTTATTTTGTAGAGGTTAATTCACCTTTTTAGGTGTGAGGCAGAAATTACCAATGCAAAGAAGTTTATAATGACCAAATCGCCCTCCATGGACGCCACATCACCAAAGATGTTTTCAAATATGACAACACATTCTTGTCTATGGTCACTTGTGAGTTTCTTTTTCTCTTCATGAAAACCTGAGAAACTCCAAACATACACAAACATTTAAAACCCCTCAACTTTTTTTCCAAAAAATAATTGTCAAATGTGAGAGTTTTTTCATTAAAAAAAAAATTTGAGAAGTAAATGAGCTATATAGACTATAGTGGCAATAATAAAGTACCTGAAGTGTTGTTAAATTCACAAGGAGAAAGAGCAGGAGGAGATGAAACAGGAAAGCATGTGACTTTTTTTCTTGTTAGATGCTCCTTTATATCCTGCTAAGAACAACAGACAAATGTTGTATATGTTTTTGCACTTGATTTTTATATTTTTATACCACTTTTTAAAAACCAAGTACAAAAAATTACAAAGTATACCAAAAACCTGATGTGCAGAATGTGTTATAAAAACGACATTGTATTGCATTTGGTCACAAGCAAAAGCTGCAGCAATTGCCTATAGAAGATACATATGAATAATTAACTAATATAAAACTGTTAATATTTTATATTAATTATATAAAATAGAAAAGAGAGAGAGAGAGAGTTACTGCTATTGGATAAACATCGCCTTTGGTTCCAAAGGCCATGAAAATAGCCTTAGGTTGCCTTTTCATGGAGCACATTTTTCTCAAATTGATGGATTTAGCTGAAAAAGTTCAACTATTCAACCAATGAATAGCAATACAACAATTAGATTGAAAATTTGCATGATTGAATTTAAATAGTTTGCAAGTGTAATTAAAGAATAAAATGTGATCAACATATGGCCCCTTGATTTTGTAGCAAGAAAGCTAATGTTACTACATGATATCTTTTAAAGTTTACATGAAGATGTTTGGCGTACTAGCTGTTAGCTGATAGCTGAAAAGCTAGCTGATAAAAAATAACGTTTGGTAAAACTAGTTGAATGATATAAAAGGACATAAAAAGGACATTTAAAAGAATATGTTTTCTATAATTAACTAATGGGTATATTTGAAAAATTCTAGAAAGCTCCTGAAAAGCTAGTATAAGTAGCTTTTTAAAAAGCTAGCTTATAAGCTTGTATTTGTATACATGTTAGAGTTTATATCCTTCATATCAATGACACAAGAAACATTTTCGGATCTATCACAAACTAGACAAAAGCAATAACATATGTGTTCTTATGACTAAACAATGGTGAATCTAGTTACCCTTTGTTGTCAATTAAAAGATAATTGTAGTTTCGTGTGATCTTGTCTATGTCTATACTACTGATTATGGAATTAAGAATATGGATTAACAAGGAAAGGCAAGTATTAGATAAATGAAGCTTCATCTTTAATCATTTCAACCTACACTTAACAAGTACTTGATTGCCTTTTACCAAAATATAAAAATTAGCTAAAAAGTTCACTAACTAATCTTAAAGACAAATACATCAAATATCAGTCAAAGCCAATTGCTCTTATATGGAAAAAAAATAACTTCAGTCTACGGAGTATCATTTGATATATATTTTTTAAATCCTTATAAAGAAAGTAAGTAAAAGGTTAAAAAACAAATTAATGCAGAAATGGAAGTGATTGGAGTGTGTGAAAGGAAAATGAAAACCAAATAAATATTTTTCCAGAAATACCATGATGATTAGTTTTCATGAACTTGATCTTATCTGTCATTGAGGGTTAATGGGTTATATAATACCCATCATTCCAACTGTTACTTGAACACTTATAGAGCCATTATCAAAGAGGATAACAGGAGCCCAGAGGTAACCTTATCACAATTTGAACCTTTGAGTTTTAAATCCTTGTTGCTTCTGTGTTCAATTTGGTTTCTTTTTGTATTAGTGTTATAAAGTTTTACAAAGCATCAGTAATCATGGTGAAAGAAGGACCTTGCTACCACTGTGGAATTAAGGGTAAGGCTTTTCCTATCTAGCAATTTCATTCCTATTTGGTTTTGTGTATGAGCATTTCAATCTCATTTCTCTATTATTTATCTTATTATTTACCTTTCTAGTATCTTTCTTTTTATTAAATGTGTTGTCATACATGTTGAATCTTACTTAAAATCGTTACAAATAATGTATATAATTGCATTGCTGTTTAGGAGTATTTTTATGATTTTTGTATAATACCAAGATCTTTGATATACAAGTTTTCATAGTCATGCACCTATTTAATTATAGTTCAGCAATCTGGAGCACAAATCTTTTTTTGCTAATGTGATTTCTTTGAGCAAATGTAACCTATATATACTTCCAAGGTTGGTATGCATAATGATATGTTTCTGAATGAATACTATGTCAGATTCCAAATCTGATATACGATAATACACATTTATAGCATCCAGACAGAAGCTTAATCAGAGCCAACATAACTGATATTCTACAATCTTTAACATGATTTCTAGGTTTATTTCTCACATTTGTGTTTCTAAATATGCATAATGTATACATATACACACATTTGAAGCATGATATTAGGCATCTGTGTTGTACCCTAATGTAAAGTGAATTAATTGATGGATTACAATGTTGTGTAATCCATAATGGATTACAGAGACTCCATTATGGAGAAATGGGCCAGAGGAAAAACCAGTGTTGTGTAATGCTTGTGGATCAAGGTGGAGGACTAGAAAAACCTTAGACAACTACATTCCTAAGCATGCCATGAAAGAATTGCAGGGCACTGAGACTGATGAAGACTCGGATTATGACCCAAACCCAGGCTCTTCATCAACTAAACTCACCACACATGGTAATAACACACGCGCACACACACACACAAAAGGTCAATAGTTTTATCTACAATCATTTGTTTTTACCAAAAGGAATTCGACGCAAATAAAAGCAAATTAACCACCGGAAGATCAAAATCAGAAAAAGTAGCTACGATAACTTCAAATTAATCACAATAATCAACGAAATTAACGAAAGCACGAGACAAATGGAATAAACAGGTATGAAGTAGTTAATTAAATCGCGACACTAAATTACCTCTGCGATTATTTCACCTCTCTAAGATCATCGCGTTCTGCTGAATGAAATTTGAGTTTTGCAATATGTAGCCTGCTAGAAGTCCCCCAAAATGTCGAAGCCAATTTTCGAAATTGGTCAAAATAAGAGGAGGCGACTAGTATATATATATATATATATATATATATATATATATATATATATATATATATATATATATATATATATATATATATATATATATATATATATATATATATATATATATATATATATATATATATATATATATATATATATATATATATATATATATATATTTATTTTATATTATAAATATTAATATTAATTATATACTTTTTTTTTTCAGAACCAGAAATACTAAAACCAAATTAAATTATATATTTTTTCTTTTTTTTTTTTAATCTAAGGGTGTTTATCTTTCTGCTTTCATATGTTTAAAGTTGAACTATTAGGATCTTATAAGTTGCGATTTTGATCATTTGCTATATTTTAAAGTTACGTTTTAATCTCTTACATAATTTTTTTATAATTTTTGTTTTTCTTAATATTACTTTTTATATTTAACCATTATAAACTTTTACCGTATTTATTTATATTGATATACTATCAAGTCTTATATTCGTCCGTCTTTTTCATACATGTAATTGTTTGGATCAAAACATTATTTTGATACTTTTGTGGTCATCGTAATATATGTTAGATTGTTGACATTTGTAAATCATATTCTATACACGAACTGCAAATGAGTTATTATTTTTTATACATACAAATAATGTATCCTAAAATTGTTATATTTTACCATGTTAAGCGGACAATATGTGTTTTATCGATTTGCAGGTCCAAATCAGTTGTCTTTTGAAAATGCTCCGAAACGTAGAAGGACTGGTTTTGACCAACATGCTCTTACACCAGTCGAACAATTTAGCAAGCAATTGCTTGACATTGCGCATGAACAACCCGAAGTATATCTCAAGAAACCGAATGATGGAGATGTACTTATTGATCGAGCAGATGTTGCTAAGTCCACAACACTCGGGACTGATCTTGGTGCACTCCTTCTAGTTCCTCAACTTGAAACTCCCTCCAATTTCAAGTCTGTTGAAACTATGGAAACAAAAATTTCATCTGACGTGGCAAAAAGTAGTGATGATCAAGGAGAGCCGAAATGAGAAATTAAATTTTTGTTCATTATTTTTAAGACTTGTTATCTTGTGTTTTAGACATAAATGCATTGTGTTTTAAATGTTTGTTGTTGTGTGTCATACATGCTTGAACTTGATATCATGGATTGGTCATTTATTTTAAACTTTTAAATGTTGTTTTATAAAGGGTTTTTGTTTTTCTAATAGTTATAATCAATTTCCCATGAATGAAATGCTAATGTTGTTGTTGTGGTTATATACTTATATGAACTATTTTGCCAGGAAGACCATGCATTTTTCAATTTCAACATACTTTGTTACTAAAGTTTTCTACAATGACAACCTACCTCAAAAGATGACAGCTTTATAGCAACTTTGCATTATTTAACATAGAAGTATGTTTCCAATACATTTTGATAAAACAATTACTAGTCTCTATCTTATGTGTGATTTATTACTTCAAGATAACCACTAATTCAATACGAAAGTGTCTATTTATCAAAACCGTCAAAGGTCCAACATAAACCTTATGTTCTAAATTTGTCAAAAAGATCTTAATTAGTCAAGTTTCACCTTAATGAGATTCAACTTGCCCTTAGGTTTATCATCCCTTTCCATTCCAGACAAGGGGTGTTACATATTTGCTAAAGAAACATCACAAGATTGAGATAACGGCTCTTGGGTTTTATTCCTTATTTTCAAAATCAAAACGTTATCACTTGAAAAATGTTATATATATATATATATATATATATATATATATATATATATATATATATATATATAGGATTTTATAGTATCTTAGTTTCCCTTTATGGGTTAAAGAATATATATATATATATATATATATATATATATATATATATATATATATATATATATATAGAGAGAGAGAGAGAGAGCTTGTATCCTTGCTATGAATGATATAAGAAACATTTCCATATCTCACATGTTATGGTATAAGAGTTTGCTTGGTTGCCAAGTGCTCTTTACATAGATTGAAAGCTCGATTGGTTGCCAAGGCTGACTCTTAAACATATGAGATTAATTATGATGAGACTTTTTCTCTTGTGGCCAAAATGTCGTTTGTTTGTATTTGTATTGCATAAGTTGTCATTAACCACTAACAACTCCATCAGTTGGATGTCAAGAATGTTTTCCTTAAGGAAGAAATATATATATATATATATATATATATATATATATATATATATATATATATATATATATATATATATATGAAGCAACCACATAGATTTATTATGAAGGAGGCATCTATGGTATGTAGATTAAGATGTTGTATGGTCTCAAGTAGTCTCGTAGAGCATGGTTTGGACGATTCTATATGTTCTCCAGGAATTCAGTATTGTTTGTAGTTCCTAGAATTACTTTGTATTCTTCGGACATAATAATGGTTGTCGAATCATCCTTGTAGTCTATGTGATTCATTTTATCATCATTGGAGATGACAACACATGGATTTTAGAGTTAAAACATTTTCTTCGATCTTAAATTTGAAGTCACGGATCTAGGTCATCTTTATAACTTTCTTCATATAGAAATCTCCTAGTCTCCTAAAGGGATTCTATTATGTTAATGAAAATATGTTCTTTACATGCTCAATGAGTGTGTGTTGTTGGCTCCATAACTAAAGACGGAAAACTTATCAAGGATATGAGTATGCATGAGTCTCATTAGGAAATAAAACTACACGACAGACGTGTTAGTGTTTTGTGTCCACACCATATACATGTATTAGGGTGCAACACTTCGTGTTGTGAGGTATATCAAGGCTACAAAAGACTCGAGGATACTTTATGTTGATTTAGGTCAGTGCAAGCGGGTGTTTCCAATGAAGGACTAAGAGATGCGAGGTATATGGCTTCTCTAATGCAGATTGAATTGGATGCCCTATTTCCAAGAGATGGACTACGGGATATTGTGTATTTTCGGAATTAATCTAATCTCTTGGAAAAGCAAGAAACAACACATTGTTTCTTGATCTAGTGTGGAGTCAGAATATGGAGCTCTATTTTATGTGAATGACATGGGTAAGAAGACTTATAGAGGAGTTGGGAGTAACTAAGTACAACTTGATGAGGCTTTATTATGATAGCTAGTCAAGCATGTATATTGGCAAGAATCAAGTGTTTCATAAGAGGACCAAGCACATTGGAGTTGATTGTCACCTTATTAGAGACCGTATTGTCCCTCTATATGGTGAAGGTCAAGTACCAACTTGTTGACACTCTCACAAAGACATAACGAAAAACACAAAGATATTTTATTTATAACATGTTAGGCATAATTAACATCTTTTCTCCAACTTGAGGAGTGTCGAAAGTTATATTAGGTATAGGTTTTATAGCTTCTTAGTTTACTTTACCTTGGTTCATGTTATAGGTTGTAGATTGTACGTATAATTATATCTTGAGGTTGTATCATTACAATGAATATAATACATATTTCCATATGTGATTCTATCACAAACATGTTAGTAGGCAATAAGATATATGTGTCCTTATGCAGAATAACAACTAGTTTATTTTCTTCTCTAATTATGTATTGTTGATTAAAGAGTTAAGGATATGGATTAACTGGAAAGGCGAGTAATAGATAAATGCAGCCTCATCGGAAAGCAACAAAAGAAAATATTTTTATCACCTCAAACTAGCCTCAAAGAGTACTTAAATGCTTTCTACAAAAAAGATTTAAATTACCTAAAAAGTTCCATAAAAAAATCTTAAGAAAATACATCAAAATATTAGTCAAAGCTAATTGCTCTTATATGGAAACAAAATTACTTTAGTCAAGGGAGTATCATTTTAAATATTTTTTTAATATCCTTTTAAAGAAACTAAGTAAAAGGTATGAAACTCTTTAATGCAGAAATGACACATATTTCAAATCCTTGAAATGTGATTGGAGAATGTAAAAGTAATTGGAAACCAAATTAATATTTTTAAAGAAATATCATGATGACTAATTTTCATTAAACTTAGTCTTATCTGTCCTTAAGAGCTATATTATATATATCATTCAATTGTTACTTGACCACTTCAGGAGAGCAAGAGACCAAAGGTAACCATATCACAAATCACAATTTGATCTTTTAAGTTTTAAACTCTTATTGCTTTTGTGTTTGATTTGATTGCCTTTGTAGTAGTCTGAAAGGTTCACAAGGCAACGGTTTTCATGGGGAAAGAAGGACCTTGCTACCATTGCGGGATTGAACGTAAGGCTTTTCCTATCTACCAATTTAACTCCTATTTTGTTTCCGTATGTGCATTTCATTTTCATTTCTATGATATTTATCTTATTATTTACCTTTATAGTATGTGGAGAAAATATTTTGTCATTGAATGTGTGGTCATAAAGGTCTGATACTATTAAAAAAACCGTTACAAAATAGTATATAATTGGGAGAATGTTAGGAAACCTTGAGCATCATTTATTTGTGCTAATGTGATTTAGTATTAAGAGTGTAAACTATATATACTTTCAAAATTGGTATGCACATTGATATGTTATAAATGACAGAACTAGCCTTTCAATGGAAATAACTCTTCTTATTTCTGATCTAACAGAATGCCAAATCCAAACTTTGTCTATATCTGTACTAAATTTGAAATTGAGTGGTGGATTTGAGTAATAAGTGACAACAAAACAAAATTGGTTTTTTTTTGGACTTGATACATGAATTACTTGGAGCATTCAAACAGAATTTTAATCATAAAAGCACTAGTTGTGCCAATATGATTGACATTATACAATCTTTAAAATGATTCCAAGTTTATTTCTCACATTTGCACCTATAACTATGCACAATGTATACATATACCCATATTTGAAGCATGAGATTAGACATATGTGTTGTACATTAATGTAAAGGGAATTAATTGATGGATTACAATGTTGAACAGAGACTCCATTATGGAGAAATGGACCACCGGAGAAGCCAGTGTTGTGTAATGCGTGTGGTTCAAGGTGGAGGACTAGAGGAACCCTAAATGACTACATTCCTAAGCATGCCATGAGAAATGTTCAGGACACTCGAACTGGTGAAGATTCTGATGATCACTCCGGATCAAGCTCTACTAGCACAAAGGGTAATACGGAAAAAAAAAACCTCGCTCGATAGTTTGATTTACAATCACTTGTTATGATAACTTGAAATTAGTCATCAACACTAAGATATTGCAACATATAACACTAAAGACCTCATATTGATTGACATAATGAACGAAAACGCAACACAAATTAGATAAACATGTATGTAATAGTTAATTGATTTGAGTTATTGAGTTACCTTTGCGACTGTTTCTCCTCTAAATCTATGATCATCGCGCGCTCTGCTGAATGAAATTGGAGTTGAGTTCATTGAGAATTTGTATCAAATTTCAGCAGTTAACAACAATTTGAACAGATTGCGTTCCCTGTTGTAGCCGGTTCGAAGTTCCCCAAAATGCAACAACCCAATTTTGAAATTGGTGCAAAACAAGAGGGGGCTAGCAGAGTAGCAGTATACATATTTTTATTTTATACTATAATTTTGATAAAAACAAGCACTTTGTTGATATATTTATTTTTTGTTAGTTAATAATAAATCAAATAAATATAAATATATATTATAGAATTTATCAAATCATTATAATATTATTTTATTATTTTTTATTTATTTAAATATTAATATGTTATTTTTTGAAATTATAATATATGGTTAAATATAATAAATTATTATTAAAGAAAGTTTATGAAAATACGTTTTTTGATTATATGTCGATTCTTTTAAAACCACGATGAATACTTAATTTATGCACAAAACATTAATTTTAGACATATGCTATAAATTTTATATATGTATGTAACTATTGACCAATATTACTATCATGTAGGTTGATGAATCTATAAGATTAGCAATTTTTATACTTATGAGTAATGGGTTTTTTTAATATATTTTATATGTATTAACCGGTGTGGGGTTTTTTTTTGGTTTGTAGGTCGAAGTCAATTGGTCTTCGAAAATGCTCCTAGGCGTAAAAGATCTATCCTAAATCAATTTGTTATTACACCTATTGAACGACTTAACAAGCAACTTCTCGATTTTGCACATGAGCAACCCGATGTGTATCTAAACAAACCGACGGACAAAGATGTGCTCATTGATCGAGCAGATGTTGCCACATCCACCCCACTTGGGACTGCTCTTGGAGCTCTTCTACTAGTCCATCCACATGAATAGATAAAACAACCCAATTCTATTACGAAAACATCAATTGCATTTGACTAAGAGAGAAACGATGGTGATAAAAGATAGTCACCAATTGTATGAGATATTAAAAAAATATGGTACTCTTAAGACTTGTTTTCTTGTGTTTTAGACATAACTGTATGGTTTTTTGAAAAGGTTTGTTGGTGTGGACCTATATGCTTGTGGTGGGTAAACAATGAATAATTATGTTTTCAAAACACTTTTCTTTGATATCATGTACTCGTTATTTATTTTAAACTTTTATGTTATTTCATAAAGGGATTTTTCTTAAATAATTTATATAATCAATTTCTCAATAATTATTTCGTATACAAAGGTATATTGGTGTTAATGTGGCTATATGAACTATTTTTGCAAGGAAAATCATATGTCTATTCTAAAAAAGTATACAATATTGTCATCCAAACATGGACAAAAGATGTTTTATAAGTCTTATTCATCTATTATATACTAATTTTACCAACATTTTTGTGTATATAATTGTTCTGCAGAAAAGATTTAGGTTTAGCCCTAACGAAACAAGTACGGTGTGAGTGATTTTAATGTTATCAACATGTTTTTCGTGTAGTTGTTATGAATATTGGATGTGTGGGGTGCACACTCAGAGTGATTACTATGAGCTTGGGATACGGGGGTCCGGGGGCGGCACCCCTGGGTACGGGGTTCCAAGGGGCAAAGCACCTGACGGTAGTTCTAGCCATGCATTTTTTCCGCCAAAAGTCACTTTATGACATCATGATGATGCAAGCATTAGTTATGTCCACTAACTGCCTGTTTAGGCGCTAGATGTGCATACAACCACCAATAACTACCTTTCTCTCTTGTATAAGAATGTTCTTCATGTTCCAAAAAATGGGTTAAAAAAGATACACTATAATTTGTTTATTAATATTTGATCTATCTCTCAAGAACACACTAAACAAGGTATTTTGTGTTTCAGAATCTGAATTAGGCATGTATTTCAGATTGGTTCAATCTTGGATTATCCTACTTCTGAATTCATATACCCCAGACAAAAGGGACAAATTACAAATTTCGGAAAGTGTTTGTAAAAATGATCCTTGAATCTATCTAAGTTTGTATTATTGTTATTTCTTATTCCCTAATGCTAACATTCAAAATCTATAATACCTATAAAGGAATAACAATGGTTGAATCTGTCAGGGACATGAGTTCTAACTTTGGAAAACTGAATAAGTTTGAAGGAAACGAATGTCTTTGTTTGCAGAAGAAGATACACTTTCTTCTTACCAATTTGAAGGTTGTGCATGTTCTAAGTACTTCTGCACCAGAAGCACAAGAGAATGAAATGCTGGAACACACCAGAAAACACTGTAAATGGGAAAATGATGATTACATCTATCGTGGGCACATTCTGAATGGTATGTCTGACTCTCTCCTTGACATCTATCAAAATCATGAATCTGCAAAGGATCTATAGAATGCCCTTTGTAACACCCCGTTCTTAAAGTGTTTTATTATAAGTCCCTGAGACTTAAGAGGAAGGGTAATTCTGGACCTTTTACAGGAAATGGGTTTCATCCGAGAAGGTTTCGGGCTGGTGTATGTTGTTAGAAGCATTGGGCTTCTCGTCACCCTCGTATGAATGTAAAGTTATTTAGGAGTGGGTTTAGAGTAGAGGAGTTGTGGTGTTTTGAAGATGATTATCGTTTATAGCTCTTTGTGGAAAAAGTGGAAAAAAAAGGGGTTCCATGCATGAATTTTGGGTTTGGCTGGGTACGCCCAGCGTAAGCTGGACGTACGCCCAGCGTAATGAAAGGTAATGTGCGGGGTGGCCAGGTAAGTACGCCCAGCGTACTAGAGGTACGCCCAACGTACTCTCAGAAACCCCAAACCCTAATTTAAGGTCCACCACTATATAAGGAACATGTTGGTTCATACCCTAGCCTCCTTAAGCTCATCCTTAACCTCAGAAACCCTAGAAACCCGTATTCCCTCCATTGTTGGGTGTGTTTGGCCTTGGAAAGCTCATTTTGGCAAAAAGAAAAGCTAGAAGAAGAAAGGAGAAGTTGTCAAAGAAAGGAAGGAACGATTAGAGCTTGTAGATCTGAAGAGATATCATCCTTTGAAGCTTATTTGAGGTATAAAGCTTCTTTCTTGCCACTTATTTTGCATAGATCTAAGTGTTGTGAAGTTTTTAGCATCTTTCTTGTCCCAAAGTTCTCATCTTGATTCATGCTTTGTGTTGGCCGAGATTATCTGTCCTTTCAGACCTTTGGAGAGGTCTTGAGTGAGAAAAATGAGGTCCCAAGGGTTGTAGTTGTTCCATGTGTGAGATATAAAGGTCTTAATGGATTAAGACCTTGGATTAAGAGCTTTCAAGTGATAAAGTTTGAGACTTTATGAATTCTAATCATATTTGGCCTAGGGATTTGAAGTTTGGGCTTAATAGCTTAAGCCATTAAGAAGTTATAATGACTTAATGAATAGCGCAGTTACGCCCCGCGTAACACATGATTACGCCCTGCGTAGCGGGCCAGAGCCCCGATCCCCAGTTACGTTTCAGTGTGTACGCCCCGCGTACCAAGGAGGGTACGCCCAACATACTCCCCCTGATTGAACCTTAATATTGGGCCTTTGAGTTTGGGCCGTTTGTGGGTAGTTGGTTATTAGGCCAAGTCTGGAAATTGTGGATAGAGTATTTTTGGGCCCAATTATTATTATGGACATTGGATCTAGGCCTATTTGGTGAGGTGGGGCTAATTTGGTAAATTGGGCCAATATTGGACTCTGTATAAGATTTGGACTTTGTTCTTGGCCCGATAAGTGGATGTATGCTTGGCCTAATGTTTATTTTGTTATGATGGTTAGTTTGGGATTTGCGGTGAGTTGGTGATTCGAGAATATGCTTCTTCAGTTCAAAGTATCGGCAATCGCGAGGTGAGTTATCCTCACTATATCGACAGGGTCGAAGGCACCAAGGCTGGCCCTTTATCGGATTGAGATTCAGGTATTTTTTGTTATGTTATTACTTTGATATGTCTGCATCCTGATAGCTAGAATGGTATATGTTAGAGATCTGGTTAAGGTCGGTTTACTGATATGTAGGGTGATGTTATGCTAGTGACCTATTAGGTCGGTATCCTGGTTAGGATGATGATATGTTATGTGATCTGTTTGATCGGCTTGTTGACTGTGAGCTCTTATAGTTTATGTGCACATGATTGATTGGACTGGAGTTGGGTTGAGGCGAGTCCTGCTTTGTGCTGTAGGCCAACATACCCAGGGCGAACCGGTTATTCCGAAGGCCCAACGAGCGGTCTGAATAGGCTGTAGGCCCCACGAGGGCGGACCAGGCGTGCCGAGGCTCGGAGAGTGGACCAGGCCGACTGAAGATCCAATGCGGGCGGACCAGTCATATTGTAGACTCAGAGAGTGGACCAGGTGGGTTGAAGGCCCGGTGCGGGCGGACCAACCACACTACAGACTCGAGGGACATGACTAGGCTTGGAGGGTGGACCAGGTGGACTGAAGGCCCGATACGGCGGACTAGTCACACAGTAGACCCGATATGCATGGTTGTTCTATGTTATGTTATGTTATGTATGCTACGTATGATATGGGCCGGAAGGCACTATGTAGGGGCCGGAAGGCATTATGATTTGGACCGGAAGGTCGTAGCCTGGAAGGGCGTATATGTGGTTGGTATTTTGGGGGTATCTCACTAAGCTTTCGGGCTTACAGTTGTGGTTTAATGTTTTTCAGGTTCTTCAGGAGACCGTGGCAAGGCGAAGGCGTGATCGTACTGCTCCTCGTGTTTATGTTTTATGTTATGGTTATGGGAATACTCTGATATTAAATGTATTGAAAACCTTTTTGTAATAACATTATTAAAATGGGTTGTTTTAAAAAAGTTTAAATTTTTTTGAATTTTTTGGTCATTACACCCTTAAATCTAAATACATGGTTGGGGATGCTTCAAGTAAGAAGTTCCATGTTAGTAATTTCAACAAGTACAAAATGGTGGATTCAAGGTCTATCATGGACCAATATAATGAACTCGTAAGGATTCCAGGACAATTTGAACAACACAGGATGCAAATGCATGAATCCATTTTTGTTTTAAGTGTCATTGACAAATGGCCCCCACTATGGAAAGAATTTAATCACACTTTGAAACACCAAAAGGAAGAGTTGTATCTAGTACAACTTGGTAGGCACTTGAAAATTAAACAAGGTCTCCAGGTTCAAGAAAGTGGCAAGGAAAAAAGAAAAAGAAGTTCTTGGATATTCAATTAAGATAGTGGAAGATGACTAACATCAGAAAAATAACAAAGGAAAAAAGGAAGAAGAAATATGACCATCACAAAGGTTCAAACAAGAAAGCAAAACTTGTGTGTAGGAATTACAACAAACCTAGTCACATGAAATGAGATTGTCGTTTGAAAAAGAACAAAAATGGTGCAATCACTTATGAACAATGATATAATGGTAAAGGTTCAGAACCACAAGGTCAATTTTTGATTTATGAAATTATTACTATTGCTGTTATATATCATGTAACACTTATTCCTGAATCATTCTATGTTCAGGATGGTGATCATGCATGGTGGATAAACTTGGGAGCGAAGAGTCATGTGTGTAAAGATCCTTTTCGGTTCAAGGATTATGAAGTATTGAATGATGGGTCAGTGTTGTACATGGGAGACCATAATAAAGCACCTGTTGTGGGTCGTGATTATGTTTCTTTATGTTTTAGTTATGGAAAAAGTCTTATTCTTAAGAATGTTGTTCATGTTCCTAAGATTATAAAGAACTTGGTTTTTGGTGGTGTCATTAATAGATGTAGATATAAACAAGTTTATGAATCTAATAAGTATATAGTAACTAAGTTTGGTACATTTGTTGGATTTGTATATTATTGTAATAGAATGTTTAGGTTGAATGTAAACAATAAAGTTGCAAATTCTATATGCATGGCTTTTTCTAGTATTGATGATTCTTCTTTA